TAGCAATAATGTTGTTAGTATTCAAGATAGACCTACCAAATATGTGAGACTGTGAAACGAGGTTATGTGTATGTGCTCCAGTAGTCCTGCCTATAGTATAATAACCTTGCTTTAAGAAAAACACTTTAAATGTATAGGTGTTTCATGCGCTTTTAAAATATGTATCTAGTACAAAGTCTTTTTTATTTCCCTTTTCTTGCTCCGAATCACACGTATTATGGTCACTATTCTATATACTATATCTAGTTAGATTATATTATGTTTTATTAATCCAAAATTAGAAAACTGTTTTGTCAGATCAGCATGTTAACGTTGCACCTGAGTTAAAAAAAAAAATTAAAACACTAAATGTATACTGTATAATATTAGTGATGGCGAGATGTGTCAAAGTGTTTAAAACAGTTCTCAATGAGTAAAGCCTTAGAATAACTCTAAACAACGAACATAAAATCCTATTTTCATGTTAACAATATTGTATTTATTCCGGTTTAATGATTGTGATTGAAAAGCCTAAGGAGGCTGGTAAACATTGCAAAGAGTGATTTGTATTCCTTAATAATATTCGTAAACTCAACCATGTTGTAGCCTGAGAAAGGCTAAACCATATCAAAGAATACATTTATTAACTACATTATCACATTTAGCTGTAGCTTTTATAAACAAACAAAAAGACGTATTGTTCAGTCGTTGNACCTGGCGGAGAAAGGTTGTGGAGCCTCCGTTGATATGCCGTTGTAAATGGCTTGATGGAAAGCAGGTGTGTAGTCGGGGAGGATGCACAGCTGATTGCAGCAGGTGAGTGGAGGTTGAGCCGGGAGCCAGGAGTGACAGCCACCACGCACACACAAACAACACAGACAGGGGGAAACAAACAAACACAAAGGAGACGGCTGGAGTAGCACAGCCACCACAGCGTTACCTAATGCAACTCCACACTACGTATTACGGTGCCGTGTAACGGAGGGGAGAGAGAGCAGCGAAAGGGGGGAGAGAAATGTAATACGGTTTCTTGATAAAGCTGTGGAGTGGAGACGGAGTATGTGCTGCAGGGAGGTGGAGTGCACAACGCACCCAGGAACGAACGCTAGCTCCGGTCCTTTTCCCGTGAGGGAAACTGTGGACTCGATGCCTTGACAGGCTTGAGTTTGTGCAACCTGCACAAACACAAGCTCACCATGATTTACAAATGGTGAAATGCAATGTAAAATTACCGAAAAAATACCAGCTCACTAAATCACAACCGCTCAAACCAACTACAAACTACTATCGCGGATTGGGCAGAGAACGAGTCCGAGAAAGTTAACTCCCCCATGTGACGTAATATGATGCGTTTGACGTATGACGTTAAAAAAAAGCAGTTTTTAGTAGCAGAGCTCAAAACGGCCCCATTTCCTCTGAATTCCTGCCCTTATGTCTTGTAAAACATATCAAATCCTGCATTAACATTTTTAATTGTAATTTTCAGGCAAGGTTAAGCATAAATGTAGTAAAAAAAAAAACTCTGCAAGTTGCTCTTTAAATGTCAGTATAACTCCATGAGTTTGTGTTGGCCTGAGGTAGGCTAGGAGCAAATGGTAATCTGAGGTGAAAAAAAGACATGTGCAGGATCTCCACCAGAGGGCACCATGACAATACAAATAAATGGTATTTTATGTGCAAATGGGGAGATTTTTGAAATATGTATTGATGAGTTCAAATGAAAGAAAAGACTGGTGTGGTTAATGTTCTGTTAACAATACTTTTAACAAGCAGTAGCTGTATACTGAATATTGTACTGAGAAAACAACAATAATACCTAACTTCGAACTTCCCAATAAATACAAATATCAACATTTTGGCCACATCATTTAGGCTTTTGTACACCATTGGGAAAAAAGGACAACTTCGGTGAACATGGTGGTGGGATGCATTCATTTCATTCTTCCAAATGTTTTTGTTCATCAGTATAACTAAAACAAGAAGAGAGAAGAAAGCACAAAAATAAATGTGACATTCCACTTATCACTAAGAGGACTTCTCTTACATACACTGAAAAAAACTGAACCGTTGACTTGAATTAAGTTTAAGTTCTTTAAAAAAGCACATAACTGTATTGAGTTACTTGAAAGCAATAAGTCTAAATCAAAAATATGTTCAAAATAGGTTCAACTTAATATCATTGCTTTCAACTAACTTAATCAAGGTATGTGAAATGTGTTGATGTAATACATTTAATTAATGTCAACATTTCAGTTATTTCAGTAGAGCATTGCTTATCTAACCTCCATTGGCTCAACTCTGTGGTGCAGAGATACCCATCTTAGTGTCAGCAGGTCAGCAACCACAATGAACGTTGTGTGTTTTTGTACTTTTATTGTAAGTGCACAAAATAATTGTCAAACAAATATTAAGATGCAAGGGGAAGAACACAGAAGGACCCCCGACAAACATCAAAATGTATTCCTTTCATTTTGTGTGTGGTCCAGTTAAATTGAATTAAATTGAGAGGTGTTTTAATTGGTGCACCCACTAAATTGCTCCCTCAGAATGTAGAGTCCTGACATCCAAAACAACAAGAAGAAACAGTTGTTGTACTCCTTATTGAGACTCAGGAGGTGTAGAAGTGCACAGTGTGTCCTGGGGAGAGTTTCCTCCACAGCTGGAGCAATGTTCATCCATCAACACTGACAGCCTGCAGAAAGTGATAGCCAGACTATTACAGCCAATGCAAATAAATGGACTGATTACTCTCTTATGAAAGCTGCCTTCAGGAGCGCGAGGAACATTTTCCCTCCGCTCCATAGGCGTGATTAACCAAGTTGTAAAGTGTAAGTTAGATATAGACAGACAGTGACTGATTGCAGAATATAATTATTAAATAAACGTTTGCATCGTCATTAATGGGGCGACAAGATATATTTTATTCTTGCTGTACAGAATTAGGGCATTGTATAGAAGTACTGGGTTTTATAAAAGGATTAAATAGGATGTATAAAACACTTTGTATGTGGTGTTGAATGTATTTAAGCAGTGATCATACTGCAGATTTCAAAACGTGATGTTCTTCATGGACATGTACGTAGAAGCAGAATAAAACATTAAACATTGAACTCGAAACCTGGATAGAGCAATCCACAGTGCTCTGGCAGAGAATCCTCAGACTACAGGTGCTGCAAAGCACACACCTAACAAGATTGTATTATATAAATGATTATCATCATAAAAATGTATTGACCTGTTTAATTTATTGTCTGAGCTGTAAATACAGAGTATAGCCATAGCGTAAAGAAGAGTTACACACCCAGATGTTCACTTTCTGATAAAACGCACAAAATTTGAGCCTGTCCAAGATAAATGTTTTCCCAAATCTTAAAGCAAAAATCCTGAATTTGAAAAACTGAAAGTTACAACATTCAAATCCCGTTAGGAAACCACAGAGATCTTCACCACACACACACACACACACACACACACACACACACACACACACACACACACACACACACACAGACACAGACACACACACACAACACGGAGAGGAGGAGAGGGGTGTGCACAGGCCCTAAACAAGTGTTGTTCACTCCCTCAGAGCCATCACACCTGTCACAGCACACAACCCGAGGGCAGAGCTTCTCCATCTCGTCCCATCAATCAGCAAAAGAAAACTACCTTAGAACAGGCTTTAAGCATAATGCTGTGTTTACCATATTTTAAGTGGTGTTTAATGGTTTCAACAATCACAACAAGTCAATTAGCCTGTAAAGTTGTCTTGTATAGAAATTTATAAATTATGATTGTCATACAATATAATCTCTATTTGGTGAATCCATCAGTTCTTTTTTAACTTAATCCCCTTTTTTTGATTTTACCATTTTAATGCTAAGGCACCATGCACGGCTGGAAATATGTGGTGTGTGCACGAGTCCCTTCTCAGACGAGGCCTCACCCAATGTGGTGCACAAGCACACAGACTGTCTAGGAAATCACATATCAGAAGCCTTCTCCATCTCGTCTCCACGTTTTACAACTCCACAAAATAGAAATTCTATCAACTTTCAGTAATAGTTGGTTTTTACAATAAGTCAGGATGTTGTCTGACACCAGCGGTTTTAAGTGCTTGCTTCGTTCTTCACATATGGGTCTATAAATGTAATTTTTATCGGCCTGCAAGTGTCACTTCTGTGAGATACCATCTTAATCAAGAGTATTATTATGCTGTCAGCCATTGAATATAATCCACTCTATTTGGTGGATATCCATCAGTTCTGGTTTTTACCATATATTGCCTTGATTACTCGATTTTAATAGCATTCAGACTATGTAGTCAACCATGCACCTTTTTGCAATGGCTGGGCAATTCGCGTGTGGTGTCCAGTGTCTGATGGCAGTGGTGTGTAGTGTGTGGTGGTTCGGTGATGACTGTTGTGTGTGCATTCCTGCGAGATGCGAGTGTGTTGTGTGTGTGTGTGTGTACGTCGTGTCGTGTGGTGTGTGGCTGTGTGTGTGTGGTGTGTGTTCGGTGTGAGAGAGAGAGAGAAGAGAGAGAGAGCAAAGAGAGAGAGAGCAGAGAAGAGAGAGGAGAGAGAGAGAGAGAGAGAGAGGAGAGGGGCGCGCGGGGGGAGGAAGAGCGCGAGGGGGTCCTTGGGTGGTCAGTGCATATGCCGGTGGTTCAGTGCATCTCCTCTTGTAATGTCCGGAGAGCAGCGGATTGATCTGGTGGATGAACACACGGTGGAGAAGTGACGGCACAGTGGACGTGGCGTTCAGCTTTCTGCACCTTGCTGTGTTAAGAGCAGGTGAAGCTGGGAACCGAGCTTTAAGAATGGTTCCAACCCGTGCCCTCATCTCTCTGATGTCCGGAGTGCGCTGAGCGGCGGCGCAAAGTCTCTGGATCCTGCTGAAGTTTTGTGTCTGGAGGAGCACTCTTCCCTCCGTAACTGTGGCTGGTTTGTTACATCAGTTTAAACAGCTCCGCAGACACTTACTTTTATGCAAGAATCTTTTATCTGAAACTTCCGGAGATGAAGGAAAAGTGCAAGAACGCGGCGAAGACGCGCAGAGAGAAGGAGAACGGAGAGTTCTACGAGCTGGCCAAGCTGCTGCCTCTGCCCGGAGCCATCACCTCCCAGCTGGACAAGGCCTCCATCATCCGGCTGACCAGCAGCTACCTCAAGATGCGGGCCGTGTTCCCCGACGGTAGGGACCACCGGAGGGATGGGGTTTTTATTGTACTGATTATCACTGTATCGGCAGGGCCCATTGACATTCAGACACCGAAAAGAAGCAAAAACCATACAGCAATAATATAAAACATGTTGCCCTATAATACACCCTCAATGCAGGCTGTAAAGTAGGCTAGTCGATAGGCCTATCAAAAATGACGGACTTTATTGAATTAGTTGCGTTTTAATTGTGTATAGGGCCTACACCACACTGAAATGCAAATATGTAACTGCATTTATGATTGTTCACTATGTATAAAGAGTATAACTTTTCGTTATGGTTTATATGTGTAAGAAAAAATAAATAAGGAATTCAGTTTGACTTTTATCCTCTAATGTCTGAGCTTTTATACGGTGTCTCACAATTGCTTGATTAATATAGAAATGAGGAGAAAAGGTATTTATACACAATTGCTATATCAATACATAATTTAATTGTTTTCTAATACAGCATAGGGATTTTAGGAGCGTGGTAAACCTGTTGTTTTTCTTGTTAATAGATTCCAAAGTAAATGATTTAGTAACCATTTGTTTTGTCACCACATGTCATATCCAACAAGCCTTTTGTGACGGGTGCCTCATATTATCACATTTAAATACAGTTTTAAATCCAAGTTCAAAACGTTAAAAAAATCTCATAAATGTTAAAACCGTTTTCAACGAGAGAGCTTGCTTAAAAAAAGGGGGAACCTTTTAAACACATAGAGTTTTGTCTGAGGGATGTAGATAAAAAGATAAATAACATTTACTTTATTTATCTGATGTATTGTTTTGTTGTTACAGAAGCATATACATACAAGACATTGTACATAAATTAAAAATAAACATTATAAATGGAAACATTTGAAAAATAGAAATTAAACTGAAAAAGAGTAGAAAATATAGGCCTACAAGTTGACCGTGATGATGGCATATTAAATTAGATACAAATGTGCAATATAACTTGTGAAGTAGGCCCTATAGATCAACTAAATATAAACTATGAAGCTGTCAGTTCTCTGCCAGCCATGGCGAGTTGTAAAGTGTTATTGCAGTTGGCAGGACACTTTTCCTGTATCTGTCCTTGTGACTTAATTATCCATTAAATGTTTTTATTTGTAGCCCTTTTTTTATTATTATTATGAGTCTGCTCTCCGTGTGCTCCTTCACTCCATAATCCGGGCTGTTCCAGCAGTTTTGGTAATGGAGGTGTCAGTGAAGTGGTGGTCTTATTTCCCCCTCTGATTAAAAGCTGGTGTCTGCTTTAGCCACCTCACTCATTCATCAAGGTGTATTATTTCATTAGGCCGCAGAGAGCCGCAGTGGGGCAGGTTAGAGGGCAGGAAAACACCGCCCTTCCTCTCTGTCATCACTCATAACGTCAGAGTGAACACACGGGCCCTGTGGCCGGGCCACCTCAGAGAGGGGCCGGCAGGAGGCCCTCCCGGGCGGCATATAGAGAGGGGCCGGCAGCGGGACCTGCTCCAGAGAGGGGCCGGCAGGAGGACCTGCTTCCGGGCCGCCGCGGAGACACCGGCCGGCTCCGTGATCCGACCGGGAGATAGCCTATAAGGATCAGGAAGGCATGGATCCATTTGTGGTGGATTATTTTAGAGCCATGTAATCTTAATAAAGTCCCATAATGCAGAGCGCCGGGACAGGCTGTAAAACACACAGACACGCACTTCATTTAGTGCGTTGTGCCTACTTTGCCATCTGTTTTAAAGAAGAAGAACATGCCCACCCAAATGTAGCCTGCAAATATGGTAGTATATCCTACCAGCTTCAAAAATATGTAGCCTATTTAATGCTTTTTCATTTGTTAATCAAGGACAATTTCCATTAAGTTGGCCATCACCAGCCAAGGGACAGCACAGCAGTATCCCAAACCCAGGCATGTCATTTCTTAAAAAGCAGGGTATAATAGGCTATTTATTATTTTGTATATTTGTAACCAAGCTAGAAGCGGACCCGCCGGAGCACAGAGGCTGCCTGCAGCTGTACTCTGCTGCTGGGACATTTTGATAAACAGTGCGTTTCACAAATAAATAGAAGAATAAATACCCCCAACCCCTGAAAAAAGGGGCAATATTAAGATAAGAAATATGGACTGAATGGTTACTTATTAAAGGGCCTTCTGTTGCTTCGTTTTGGCATATAATGTAATTGTATTGTATTATTGTTTTAATTAGCCTACATTAATACATTTTGGTCATATTTTAGACTTTTGTTATTTTGGTAAAGCTTTATTATGGTTGGACTAACATAAGAAATACACCTAAGTACCAAACGATGTGTGGTAGGCCTACCAATTAGATGTAGAAAACAAAAATTAACATAATCTTTTTTTTTAATTAAGGCGACATAATTAATCTAATATTTTCAAAGTTACTCAGAAATGATCGTCTGTTAAGGAAAGCATAGACATTTTTTTTGTTTTTTTCCTTTTCTGGATAAAAAACGTTTTTCAATATAAAGTGAATTTCTTACTGAAGACCAAAAAGAAGTCATATTTAATGATGTCATAATTCCATAGACATAATTATGTAATTCTCGGATATCAAAGTATTTGCTCAAATCCTTTATTAGTACAATGTAGAGCTGTAGTAAATACTAGTTGCTTTTGCAGTCAAAAATGTGTATGTAAAACCTTAAAATATAAAATATAATTTGCGTTTTATGGTTTTTTGTTTAATATGCAAAGAAAAAAAAACATCAGTCAAATGAATCAGTCAGACCTGAACCTGACACAACTTAACAACACGGGAACACACTTAGAGCAGTTTCATAGGTCAAAGTATAAGTAGCCTTTTGTTAATTCTATTTTTCAATGCTATTACTTTAGAATTGTTGCTAAATTGTAAATTAATAAATTGGCCATTTTCCCCAAAATAGAAAATGAATGCATGTTCAGCTTTGGCGTTGTCATATCCTTTTTCTTTGCAACCTAAAATCTGTGTCAGTATTCCAGCAGCTCTAGTATGATATTACGAATGATGTGAAGAGAATAATTCGTTAAACAATCTGACCTTTAGAAAAAACTCTCCTCTGCATTCTGTCAGGCTTTCGGAACAACCTTCTGCAGGAAATGATTTAGTAAAAACACTTTATATCCACGTAGGCTTCTAAAATATTATTATTATTTGCTTTTCTCAACTCAAAGTTGGGCAATATTAAAAAGTGTGCACATATGTGTTTATTTAGCTTTTAAATTCACCCTTTGCCTAGAAGAATCTGATAATATGTGATGCATCATCAATTGTACAATATACTCAATCCCCAGTTTGGAGCACTCTGACTGTTATCAGTGCTTTTATCCTGTGTTTGGGTAAAGGACCTGTTACGGGAAGCTGATAGGTATTTGCGACTTTGTGAATAGCCTGACACCTGATGACTGCAGAACAGAACAACTCAATGTTATTGACACTAAGAAGTAAAGCGTAACACTTTTTACAGATCCTAAAGAAATGATGACCTACTGTATGCATTGTAAAGAATGAGCAAAAAATAGCTTGGCCGTCATCTGTCTCAATACTGACAAAAGAGTTAAGATGAACAGTGTCAAGCATTAACTCTTCAGCCCTTCCTGCTGACAGCACTGTTTTCTACAATATTTGCCTTTTTTAAAGCTCTTTATTTATTTTTACCTCAGCCTAAAGCAAAAAGTGGGGTTGGTCGACTGAAAAGTATCCCAACAAACGGAGAGGCCATTCAGGGTATTGCCATGTTTCACAAAGCATGTCTCAGTTCTGTGCCGAATAAACTCTTCTCAGAAGAGTTCTACCAGGTAGAAGTAGAAATGTGATAATCATGGACATACCTAGCTTCAACCACACTTATGTTGTTGTTCTTTAAATAATAACTTAACGCAACATCATACTTCCAATGAGTGAGACATGTACTCCTGCTTACTTATAGAATAATTGGGCCTCGTCGAGTCCTCTATCCCTCTGGGCCATGAGAAAACATTTGAGGAAACACTGTAAAACTGTGTGTGAGATTGATTGCTATTATGGAAATGTGCCACAGCCTGCATGACTTGGAATTATATGTATTGGATGATTTGCAAAAATCGCAACACCAACTTTATATTCAGTGCCACTATTCAGTTCCTATATGCTCAAAGTAATGCACTATACAGTATACATAGTATTGTATGTTCATACTATGTGCATACAGTACTATGTATACTGTATACTGTATGTACAGAAGTGGAAATAAATGATGTGGAGGGCATGTCATACCTAACTGTATATATCTGCATATTACCATTAACAGCTGTGGTTCTCTCAGCTGTATTGTCAGATGAAGTTATAAAGAGCGTGCCCACTGTCTGAACAGGGAAAAAGACATAATGAATCATAGTTGCCATGAATTCATCCTTATCCGTCTGATCCTTCTTCACGCCAGCAGCAGACAGCAGTGTCACTGACTGGAAAGAGGCAGAATGGTTCACTGGTTTGTATTAGTTTTATTCATGGCCAACTAACTGTAAGCCTGACAAGCATGCCTGACCAAGTAAATATTGTTGTGGTTGATAAAGAGGTCAAATCAACCAAAATAGGTAAAAAACGGAATTACATCTAGTGGCATCTCTGCATGCACATAGTTACATCCTCAGTCCAATACACTGGAGGTGAATTTAAATTAATTTGTGGAACTTGAACCAGTTTGAGTTTCACATAGCTTGACCTCACGTAGCAGATGGCAGCCTTCAGTCTCTGCAGAGGCCATCCCAACAGGAACAGGAGAGGTGCTTGTTGGCCTGAGTCTCTACATCGAGCCGGGGAGAGCAAACATAACATGACTCATAGAGTCACAATTGCAACATTTGTGGGAAATATAGCAGGTTAGATATGCAAGAATGTTCCTGTTTGAGTATTTCCCTGAGTTAAATTTTACTTCTGAGAATAGTCAGCAGGCAGATTACTTTACCTTCTGGCCTGCTGTCATATTGTTCTCATGTCTTCCTTTTTTCAATAAATCATGTGGCTTGGATTGTACCTCATCCAGTTGCCATGCATCTTTGTGTGGAATTGCTGTGACCTGGGATTGATTGATTTTTATTATGATATCATTTAATGTGCAGCTGAAGCGTCTAGCAATCAGTGGGTCAGTGGTTCGATCCCCTGCAGTCAACATGTGTGCTTGGGCGAGATACTTAACCCCAAATGCTCCCGTAGGCATTCTACAGTACTGAATGTCAGTCGCTTTGGATAAAAGTGTCAGCTAAATAACATGTCATTAAATATATGTAAAATATCACAATATAACATTTGCAACCTGGTACCACATGCTCTTAAGTTATGTCTTGTTTTACTCAAATATTTCACTGAGACGGTGGAAGTCTTATTGAGTAAGGGTATAGTGGAAGTCGGAATAATAAGGGTCAAAGTTCAATGTATTCCTCTTTTCCAATGACTTTGCATAAATGACAGTGCTTACAGAGCTGCTCTCTTTTACCCTAAATGTGCACAATGTCTAATTTGCATGTTGATTGTGTTTCCCGGTGAGTGTGTGTTTATCTCCCCACTTTTTGTCTCGAGCATGATATATGTGTCTGTGTTTGTCTCCCTGACTGTCTCTCCTGTGTCTCTCTCTCTCTCTGTAGGTCTGGGTGAAGGATGGGGTCAGACCTCAAGGTGCAGTCCTCTGGACAGCATGGCTAAAGAGCTGGGCTCTCACCTTTTACAAGTCAGTACCTGAACACCACGCTGCGCTGCTTCAGTTACTCTGCTGAGGGATGCTGTGATATGCTGCATGAAGCTGCTGCTATACCAGATGCTATTGCTGTATGCATGTGTATGCTATGCTCATACAAGGTTGCTTAACTGGGTGATGCATTAGAGTGGGGGTCACAAACAGCAGCAAAGATGCTTAAATCTGGCCAAAATATTAGCTGCAATTACATTTGAAATTAAAATAATTATCAAGATTATGGGCTTCTTCATTATTCTAAAATAAATACAACAATGAATGCTGTATTTAAACTTTCAGGTCATCAGAAAGTCTTCTATCGCAGTCTGAAAACCAACTTATTTATACTGCACCTTGGCAAATGAAATATATTTAAAAAATAAACTTAGTCTGTAGCCCTTAGTATGGTTTCACAAATCTAAAGCCTATGCAGTAGGATATATGGTGGTCTGGCTTGCTGAAAGCTATTGCTCAAACCAGCAGGATTCTTGCCCCATTTTTGAGATTGCATCGCCGTGGTTGATTGGTTTTATTATAAGTCACTTTGGATAAAAGCGTCAGTTAAATGTAATGTAATATAAATAATAAAGTAGGCTACAGACAGTGAGTGTTTCTCTAAGTTGTTTTTAAAATGTGTTTTACTGAATTCATTGTATACGTTTTCAATGTCCCTTTAAATGTACACAGTAATGGACAGAAAGTAGGTTTTATTAAACCTCAAGTTTCTGCTGGAAAAGAGGTCTGTTTGATAATCTCATACATATTTAAATATCGGTGATTGGTTATATCTTGCAACATTCTATTATTTTGCGGGTAATGTCAAAAGTCACGATGTACGCTGTGCGTTCTGTTATGGTGTCAGTGCATGGTGAGAACACTGCCCTGAAGTCATTATAAGTGTGTGTGTGTGTGTGTGTGTGTGTGTGTGTGTGTGTGTGTGTGTGTGTGTGTGTGTGTGTGTGTGTGTGTACTCAGAATGCATTCCGTGCTCCATATGATTTTGGTCTCTTCAATTCATAAGAAACCGATCCAAATGTCTTTTAAAATCACATAACACACCTGATCTGCTGTTTCTTCCCATTCTTAGTGATTCTTAGCACTTCTTCCTTTCTACTTTCATTTTATTCATGGCCTGGAGGTGTTATTTAACTGCAGATGGTTATTCTAAGATTATTACAAATACGAAGTAAAACTGCACTCAGTACAATGATCACAATAAAAATCTGCAGCATGTTCAGGCTTTAAAAGAGACATCAGCTAAGCTGAGTTCAACTTGAGTTGGGTTCTGTTACATATTACTCAGTATTGTCACTTTTTAATAAATATATTTATAATAATATAATATATAATATAATAATATAATATATAATATAATAATAAGTGTCGAGCACAATAGGCCTGCTAAAGTGTTGCAGAGGCTGAGGTACAGAATGTGCTCCTGTGAACAGAAAGTGCTGAATAAGAGTTTAGAGTTCAGCACACGTTCATTTTTGTACCCTCAAATAATGAATTATTGCGCACATTTTGTGCCCTTAAAAGCTGCATTTGGTACAATAATAACAATAATAATTACATAAGGTCAGCACCTTTAAAATAAAGTTACAAAGTGCTTAATTATAAATGAATGTATAATTGATCAATTATTAAATTGCATTTCCCAAATCAATTATAAATGAAATAGTTCACCGCCCATATTTGAAATTATGTTAGTATACTTTAATCTTTTTGACAGAATTGATCGTGCAATTTCACCATGCAATAAAAACAGAACGCTTTTTTACTGCAGTTCCAGTTCCAGTGTGCAGAAAAGCGAGAAGAAATGAGCAGCTGATTATTTGCAATGTTCACACCTTTTGTATTTGTGCTATGATTTTTATAGCCTTTATTTATACCAGATATATTAAACCATTTTCAGAAATGTATTTCGTCTCATACACTCCTAGATGTTAGTGTTTTTAAATAAAGATATAAGAAAATGTTTGCGTTTAACAGTAATGACTTGTTTCCGCTCCCTCAGACTCTGGATGGCTTCGTGTTTGTTGTGGCCTCTGATGGAAAGATCATGTACATCTCTGAGACAGCATCGGTCCACCTCGGCCTCTCCCAGGTAACACCCTCCTCCTGACCTGAATTTTATAAGAACAAGAGAATGTAACTTATAACAAGTACTGGTCACACACATTCATCACGTGACAGAAATGGAATTGACTATTATTTGTTCATGGATTCAATACTTTTCTATCTTATGTCTTGATTTGGAAACATGTATGAACACTTGCTGGGTGTGTGTTGCAGGTGGAGCTAACCGGAAACAGTATATTTGAGTACATCCACCCATCGGACCATGATGAGATGACAGCAGTGCTGAGTCTCTGCCAGCCCCTCCACCATCACTTCTCTCCAGGTACTAAAACATCCTCCGGCTCGAAGCTCTTGCTCATACGTTGTGGTACAACCTGTCTGTCTGAAACTCTGACAGAACTCGCTGACCCTCCCTAACCCTAACCCTAACTATTCAAGGTCAATGTCTTACTTCTCGCCAATTTTTTCCAAATCTCGGGTTACCTTCTTGACAATACCACATCAACAACAGATAAAGACAGAAAGCCTGGGGATTTACAGGACGTATTTCTAAGTCCTTTTTTTGGCAACCATTCATCCGATCACACTTTGCGGTGGTACTTGGAATAGAAGTACCAGAGCCCGTTTAGAACAGGAACTGCAACAGTACAGTAAATCTGTTTTTTTTCAAGAATTATATAGTATGAGGGCTTTACTGTGGCGCTGATCTTGTTTATAAAATATATCAATTCTGGCGAGAACACGCCATCGTGCCCGTATACATGATGGCGCCGCGGACTTAAACAACAACGCGACAACAAAGCTCCATAAAAACAAAGCTGTCTATGCCGTCTGACATGGTTTTCATACTTCTGGGGTAATTATACAGTTTTTGACATCTGGCATCACTTTAACATTTTGGTATGAGGGCGCACGCTGGAAGTAAGATGCGCCCCTGTTACCTAAAACCCTGGTACACAAATGCATCTCAACAACATGGAGAAACATTATTTGAGACAGGCATATAGACAGACCTTGAAGTGATACCTGTCTGGCTTTTTCCTTTTAGGAAATTATTATTTTGCTAAGGAGGAGCAATACCGACTTTATCCATCTGTCATTAAGGGAAGTCATTTTCAAAAGCATCACATTTTTGCTTATGGCTTCCATTGTACCTCAATCACCAGTTATTTTGTTACTAATGCACCTGCAAAATAAATACATTTCCATGTGTCAGCATCACAAAATGTTTTCAGATTGTGTCTCCGGAGGTGTTTATAGTTATTCATTTGGGTTAGGCTTGGGGTTGCAACTTACTGCCCTGGTAGAGCTAACTGCTGTTATGTAAGGGGCGAACTTGATGATATTGGTCTGTCAAAACAAATAGGTGAAGATTTTGATAATTTTAGAAGAAAGAAATAACTGGTGACAAAAATCCCTGGGATATTGTTTTATAAAAACACAATACACTTGTTGGTGTACAACATGTTGGTAATGCCTCTGTTTTGTGTGTTTGTGTGACAGAGTATGAATTAGAGCGCTCCTTCTTCTTGAGGATGAAGTGTGTTCTTGCTAAACGGAATGCAGGACTGACCTGTGGGGGATACAAGGTAGGTGCAGCCACTGTATACACACACACTATAAGCTTTTGCTTAATTGAGGGACTGCAAGAGATTTAATTTAAAATAGGTTCAAAAACAATTAATTTGTCATCAGCAGCCTATTGGACTGAGCCAACGCTTTGGACGTTGAGGAATATTCAGTTAATAAAAGCTCTTCAATAGTCAGATGTTTGTCCAATCACCTCAATTAATAGAGCCTCTCGCAGAGGTGGGAAGTAACTAAGTACATTTTCTCAAGTACTGTTCTTAAGTACCATTTTTAGATACTTGTACTTTACTTGAGTATTATCATTTTATGCTACGTTGTACTTCTACTCCACTACAGTTCAGAGGTAAATGGTGTACTTCTACTCCCCTACATGTATTTAATACCTTTAGTTACTTTACAGATGTGGATGAATGATGTGAAATATAATCAAGTCTTAAATCAGACTTTAGTTCCACCTGGAGTAAATCCACAAGCTACCCTGCAGTATACAAAGTCATTCAAACTATCTGCACCTTTACCAGCTTTGAGAACACTTCCATGATCAATCATTATAAAACATATCATATATATTATTCTGAAATGGACCAATCTGCACAATGAGTATTTTTACTTTTGGTACTTTAAGTATATGTTGATGTTAATACTTTTAAATGAGGGACTTTTACTTGTAATAGATTAGTCCTACACTCTGGTACTTTTTTTAAATTAAGTATAAGATTAGTACTTCTCCCACCTCTGGCCTCTCGTAATCCTTGCAAACACATCTGTGTGATTTACCATGCAACAGGTGAAAGAGTAGGCAGAGACTAAACGAGAACGCAAACGGTTGTTCACTGCTGTAGCATGGTCAGTAGCTACTGACTGACCATGCTACAGCAGTGAGCAGCAGAGGTGGGGCTATGGCTTCGTCGTTATCAGGAAATGACCGTAGAGCGTATACACTGAGCTGTTTTGCTCCCCAGAGCGTTCAGTTTGCAGATCTATCCAACTTGGGATCGTTTGCGGGGTCCATTTCCGTGGTTCTGTTACGGCCTCGTGTGAACGAACGGGCTATATGCAAAAGAAAAGTAGCGGATACAACCCGTTTCATTCTCGTGAAAACAGCACATAAACAGACAGATACAGCAGTGAAGAAAATAGTTTTTAATGTTGGCTTGTTTCAATTCCATATTTATGTCAAACTGGTAGAGAAGTGGATGCATGAAGGATGTGTTTGCTCATTGATTTATACTTGTTGATTTTTACACATGGTGTTTTGTTACGCTTTTAAACGTATCTTATCTCTTAACAGGGTTATGTTAACACTATAGCCTATCGTAAAAATGTGGCTGTAGCGGAGTTGACCTTGCTCACATCAGAAACAAACATTTTAATAAAAAATGTACAAATATGTGGCTGTATTTAAATATATAATTGGTATTTTGGAAGCTCTGCTTTAATCAGTCACATGACAACCTGCAGAACATGTCTACCGTGTTCCATCTAAAAAAATATGAATTCTTTGCTGACACTTTCCAAAACGCTATTATCATCTCAAGCATCAGAAACAGATCAATGCATTCACTACCAATTGGGTGGTAGCACACCCTCTAAAGGAGGTGTGTGCCTTTACATGAACACAACACATGGAGCAGAAAGGGCCAGCTGGGTAAACAGTTAGTGGCTGCAATAATGCCTCCATACATATGAGTTGCATTTTGGAATTTGAGTAACACATGCTTGATTAAATAAATAATATGTTGAGTTTGTTCACTTAAATTCTGAACATTGTTAGATTATATTGTTTTAGTCTCAAACTCCTTGGTCAACTGGCAGCAGAAGTTGCACTCTCTCTGTCCCTCTGAACCATTGAATGACCCTGATGTCCTGCTGTGGTTCCCAGGTCATCCACTGCAGCGGCTACCTGAAAGTGCGTCAGTACATGATGGACATAGCTCTGTATGAATCCAGCTATCAGACTGTGGGTCTGGTGGCCGTCGGCCACTCCCTGCCCCCCAGTGGTATCACAGAGATCAAACTCCACAGCAACATGTTCATGTTCCGGGCCAGCCTGGACCTGAAACTCATTTTCTTGGACACAAGGTAGGAGGGAATCTTTACTGAGCAGTTGTAGAGAAAGATGAAAGCCATGATATGGTGATATCCTGCTGGTCTCTGTATTGATCATGAGAACCATCACATATGATCAGAATCTATGGTAACAACAAATCCCTCCTACAACACATGCATAATATAACATGTTCTAAGCATATAAAATGATCTGTTTTAAAATATTTGGACTGCTGGATTGTTAAGTTGAACTGACTGTGATTGTGTCCTCTCTCCTCTGTGCTGGAGCCAGGGTGGCAGAGCTGACAGGATATGAGCCTCAGGACCTGATAGAGAAGACCCTCTACCACCACATTCACGCCTGTGACGTCTTCCATCTGCGCTACGCTCACCATTTATGTGAGTCCTCCAACATCCTTAGTCAGAATTTGGTGGGAGGGTAAGTCCAAGTTCAGTTACAAATCAACAATGAATGAATAAATAATGTAATGGCTCAGAAAAACAGCAAGCAAACCACATCACTGACAGGAAAAATATACAGTTCCATAGGTGGCTGTGGCTCAGGAGAGCAAGTCGTCGAGTAATAGCCTTAATCAATCAGGTCTCCTAAGATATCATTCAAAAATGGAAAAAGGCGGATATGTTCTTTTAATGCCAAAGTGCTTAACCAGAAACATATAATGTCCACTGGGTGTGTTAAATCCAGTCTTACTTTTCATAACAATCCCACATTACACATAAGAAAAACTGAAAAATTGACTTTAATTAAATTTACTAATATTAAGTTTAACCTAATATTTGTCATTTAAACTTAATATTATTTATGTGAAATTTGTTGACATAATACACTCAGACCTGGTGCCGTGGCCAGGCCCTTCCATTTGACACTCCTGCCCTCCCCCAATAAACACGTTTTTATTTACTTATACATTTAAAAAAAAATATATATATTTTTTTTAATTATAAATAAACTGTGAACTTTAATGCTACGATGTATGTGATGTCAGATATTAATATAAGAGTAATACATGAAAAACAGGTATGAAATACTATATGACAAGTAAAACAAGAATATAGTTTAAAAGGGGAGTGATTTGTAAAATATCCATAAAGAAAAAGTAAATCTGTTTACAGTTCTGTTTCATATGGGTGTTGAGAGATGTATCCATAGATCTCTTCATGTTGCTCTCAAAGTGCACCAGATTGATGCGTTTGACTTCAATAATAAAAAATAAAAAATCTTCCCGGGGGAGCATGCCCCCGGACCCCCCTAGAGGAGGTTAGGTCCCCCCCACTTAAAAAAAATATCACTTTACCCCTGCTTACACCTATATGCGGTGAGCTGATTATCGAGCCTTCATTGTAACAGTCGCGGCTGTACTGTGTGCGTGTGGGGAGTGTTGCAGTAGAACATTCCACTGTAGCGCCCAGTACATTAATGGGAAACACTACATGTTTGAGCACCCTCTATGAAACGTCAAGCTACCCCACAGCACCCCCAAAAGAAAATCTCTGGCACCGCCACTGGCCGCGGCACATGACGGTTTTGTGTGCCCTCCCATGAAAATCATATGCCCTGAAACACTGTACTCATTCACACCAACGGTATTTCAGGGCCGGTTCGGAGCTGGAACTTGAAAAGCACCGGGTTTTCCTGTTCACACCGCAGCGGAGCAGCCTCTTAGCTCCGGAATCCGGTTCGTTTCAAGCACCAAAAAATTGTCCGGCCAGAGCAAAAGCACCGCGGGGGGCGGGGGCAGGGGCAGGGGCGGGATCAACTCCTGAACAACAGCAAAAAGCCGGCGTTTTATCCAGTTTGTACACAACGATGGAGAAACTTAACAAGCAGCAGTGGTCCACTGAAGAGACCAGCTACCTATTGGGAATCTGGTCTTCAGAAGAGGTACAGAGGAAGCTGGAGCACAATCGGCCATTGTTGGTGTGAGCTGTGAGGGGTTTCTGAAGCAGGCACGCAAACGGTTACGTCATGACGCCAACGATGACGCAATGACGCAGCACCAGTCGGACTCTGGGCAGTGTGAAAAGAGCTGGAGCTAAACCGAAGAACCGGTTCTGAACCTGAAAAGCTCTAGCACGGAGCTTGAACCGGAGTTGCGTTGGTGTGAATGAGGTAGTGTAGATTTGTTCTGGCGCCGGGTTTGAAGTCAACGTTTCTGTTTTCTCAGTGCATCTATCTGAGATGATATGCATTTCCGATGTCAAGCATGGAAAGACAATACAGCCCCTTGAGAGCAGAAGAGATCAGTAGAAAAGGGAACGTGTTCTTTACTGTGATATCAGTAATGATTGATAAAGTGAAGTTGGGTAAAAGGGTGTGGTAAACTTCAGGCCTGCAGACAGGGCTGATACTTTACTAGATGCGATCGGAGTGTCGCCGGCCCGTCCACACGGCGGCGTGCGTTGAAGCTTCTGCCCATTCACTTTGAATGGGGTGACGTCACGCTTTGCCAAACTGCATTGTGGAAGCGTTGCTTCGCTTTGCTCGCGTTGCTCGCTTCAAAAGTTGAGCAATGTTCAACTTTTGAAGCTTCGGCGGAAGCATCAGCCAATCAAACCATATGCCAGTACCAAACTGCGTGCTTCATGTGTGTCTGGAGCGGGAGATTCATGTGATTGGTTGTTGGTCGAGTTTCAGACTTCACCGGCAAGCTTCAACGCACGCTGCCTTGTGGACGCTGTGACAACTGAACGAGAGAGTAATGTCAAATGACAGTACAATTGACCTTTCGCAAAGCCACGCCCCCCCTTGGTTACTGTTGCTAGTCCGACAAGCTGAGAGCCAGATGCGTTAAACAAAGCCATAATGGAGGGTCTCCGTAACGTCGGAGTCGCCTTAACAGACTCATTTTGGAGCAATAACGCAGCAATATCCTCCAGTTCCCAAAAGGGGCTACAATACGCTATGGAGGGTTATATCCACAGTATAAACATTAGAAAAGAGGGAGGCACAACATCAATAGAGGCACTTGCATACAGGTCGCAGTGCAAGAGTGAAAAACCACATGAGCTGTATGTCAAATTCGACAGAATTATTATTTTGGAATAAAACAATACAATCACAAGAGGCATTAAAGGTTGTAGTTTGTCTAAAGTTATCTACCGTTTCCTTGGTGGCTTTCTGCATCCACCTTGTTGTTCCTTTGTGGGGGTCGGGGTGCCCACTTGTGCAGCAGGATTAGGGAAGTCGGCAGTAGGCTTTCCATTAACAAAATGCAACAAAGATTAAAGCAAAATATAAATGAATGATTGCCTGTTGGCTTTCTTGTTTGTACTTTGACCACAGGTAGACTAATAACGAATAAGTCGACTCCGTACCCCGGTACCGGCTCGTAAAGAGATAGGTGCACCGCCGTAGCGAGGGAAGTCCGAACCAAATCCTTTGACGCGCATTTTTAGTGCTGCTCGCTGAGGCGTTGGGGAGACATTCGGAATACCTATACCGGCGATAGGCACTTGCTAAAAGTTTTTCTGGTATTCGTGTTTGAGAAAGTGGTAAAAGCGTTACTTAACGTTAGATTCGGTAATATGTCTGAAGGTGTCCCTCGCGCGTGCACTAAGCTTATCTAAACCTGTTGCCCGTAAATCCCCGCACCTAAACGCTTTTCCAGTTAAGGTGTAGGTGGTGTGTGTAGCTAAAGATTTACTTTACATCCCGGCCTACTAATTGACGCATGTCTCTCTCCCACGGCTGGTCGACCCCGTTGTTCTTTGGACCGTAACTGTAACTGTGCACGCTGATCATAGTGATAAGGGATTGGAGTGTCATATAAGTTCCCAATAAACTGATTCGTCCGCGCCTCGACTGGTAGCCTTTGGTGGCAGCCCCATCGACGGAAACGAACCGTTAAGCTGCCCACTATAGACCGCGTGACCACACCGCGTTGTGCGAATCTAGTTCGAATAAGCGTGTATGACTGACGCCTCTGAGACTACTACATTAACCAGTGCAACTTCCCTGCTTATAGCTACCTAGCTCTCGAAGGATCCTGAGAGCTGTCAGCCATTCGTAGACTCTCAGTGCTCACAACCAGGTTGCAGAACGGCACTATGGCCCAACAACGACTGGTAACAGTACGAAATACTGTTGTCACCATGGTTAGAAGGACTACGATGAAGGTCGTCCTATTGAGTGGCCAGTGGTTGCGAGTATATACTTTACGTGATGGTGACACCTGAGGTCCTCCCCTCTCGGTCTAGAGATGACTAGGTCCCAAGTTGCGGTTTCACGGCTTAACTAGCACCTCGCCGGTCCTCGCCCGCATTGTGGCGTGACTTTGTCTCTCTACTAGCCAATATACTCTATATGGATTCGAGTTGGTCGGTCTACTATCAAACCAACTGAAGGACTAATCTGAATGCGGATCATTGATATAACTCGAAAACACACTGTGCGACTGTTGGGACAATGAGGGCTAAAAGAGCCTGCTAGCGAACCGGGTCATACAGTATACGCTCGCTGCATTCTGAACCATGTGACAACAAGCAGTATTTCGCGTACCGATACCAGTCGTGTTGGGCCATTAGTGCCGTTGCTGCCGAGAGGGGCGCCAAGGAGGCCCAGTATAAAGGTCGGTAAAAGACTGTAGTTAGTTTATGCGATGTGTAACAACCAAACTTTACGAGAGGGCTTAAAAAAACCCGTGTTTTGAGAGCCTATGTCACTTATCGTCAAAATTATCACTGGCACGCTCCTGTACTGGTTTTACGTGGAAAAAAAAACATATATCACTAAAATGCTTGAGTCTATGCGCCTCAGAACTGTAGTATCTGACCACAACACCTAAATTTTTTTTTCTTACTGAAACTAAATTTTACACAACTCCACTCTTTCAGGAAGACGAAGTGCTAAAGCAAGGCAGTTTGCACTGTTAACGGTCGACATAAATGGAGATCAAATTCAAACAACTCTTCGGTGCTTTGTCTCAGTTTCGTACCTCTGGACTCTATATGGGCCTTTACGGTTCGTTTACGATGGGTTCCCAACTGTTATCTAGACAGAAATTAGCGATGCTCAGCTAACAATTAATGAGATTTTAAGTTTTAATTTTAATTATATTATTATAATAACATTATCAGTGTGAGTTAAAGCGGTAAAAGAACAACGGATGTTATTGGTCGACCAGTCCGTGGGTAGAAGAATATCGTCTATGTTTTCCGATGTAAGTAAAATTATAGCTACACAGCACACCTACACCTTAACGGAAAGCGTTTTCGGTGCGGGGATTTACGGGGCAACCAGGTTAGAGTAATGAAGCTTAGTGCAAGATTAGTGCTTTTCGCGCGCCGAGGACACCTTCAGGCTGTTCGAATCGTAAGTTGTAAGTAACGCTTTTACCACTTCTCAACACGAATACCAGAAACCTTTAGCCTATCGTCTATAGGAGTATTCAATCTCCCCCCCCCCTATAAAATGGGCAAAGGATGTGGGTTTTGGCTGCTCCTCTCTACGGCGGTCACCTATTTCTTTACGCCGTCCGGGGTACGGGTCGGACTTATACCGCTTATAGTTGTTTGTGTTTTATGCAAACGAGGTCCATTTATGCACGATTGGCATCGATCGATCGATCGTTTCTAATGTAAGTGTTTAATTGATTGATTAAATTCATTGATTAAAAGTGATTGATTGCAACGATTTCAGTGTGCTGATGTCGACCATTCGACACCACGAATAATCCAGCAAACTGGTAGCATCATGAGTCAGAAGGTGGGATGGTAGACTAGAACCGCCCCGCGACGCGGGACGTTAGCCTCCGGGAGGCGAGGAGATGACTTTAAGCCATCAAAAAAAAAAAAGAAAAAAAATAATTAAATTTTTTTATATATATATGATATCATATGCGTGGTTAACCGTTGACTTCATTTTATAGATGCAGTGAAAGTGTAACTTGTAACACGGAAAATAATTTATTTGATTTGCGGATACCAATAAATAGGTTACACGTACAAAGGTCACAGGTGTCGGCAACGCATAAGTGTAGAGGAGGCGAGGACATAAGACTTCCGCCCCGAGGGGGGGGGTGTGGGTGTGTGTGGTCTTACGTGTGTGAGTGTTAGTCTCTGGTCTCGCCTCCTTCCTCCTCTTTTGTCGAGCGTCAGACGGGCTAAACACACACTAGGGGGGTCCAAGTTAAAACAAATAATTATTAAAAAATTGGGTTCGGAATAGCAGTGTCCTCTTCCTGGGTGTCGGAGGGTCCACCTGCGCGCGCTTGTTGCTTGCATCGCACGGTAATATTTTGATCGAGTGTTACCACTCGTCCATGGCGCCAAAACTTGATGTCATAACTAAACTGTCTTTTGTTGTTAGTTTGCGGTCGTTTCTTATCAGATTATCAACCCACTTTTTTTTTGTCCTCTACATCAACCCAAATAAGTCATTTAATGCGAGTCCTATTAACCTATAAGATCATGTGGTATACTATTTCACTGCCTGATTACGCTCCTCTACACTCGATTGTATCTACGATGGCTGTCTACAATCGCCTCCGATCCTAACATGGACGTATGTCTTAACGGATGAGCTTTACATAGCAGTTCCTAAACCTCACGTTCGATCATCTAGCAACGATCAAAATTAACGAATCTGAGGTGGTTAAATCGAGTTAACTAATGTCAAACGTGGAATAATCGAATAGTAATAGTCTAAATCTTCTATAATCTATTCACCTCGACGGAGGTCGTTATACAAGTTACCTCTACTCCGTCTCTCTTCGTCGTCGTCGTGTCCCAACGTCGTCCATCTCACATAATACGACATGGGTCGCACTAAATTTACATGTTACTTCCTTCTTCACATCCGATGTCTTTCTTCCCTTATGTCAACTTAATTCATTTTTTCATGTCACATTGTGCATGAAAGTAATGACAATACGATTACATGTATTATGCAAGAAACTACAATGACATGCTATAAGTTATTGTTATTAGGTGTCGAGGAGAGAGGGACGTAGAGATTTTACTAAATTTTTTAGACCCACGGGGCTTAAAAAGGCTCCCACGATGGGAAACCGTCGTGGGACGGTTCGTCATTGGATCCCCTTTGTGACTATAGTGAACTACGTATTATTACAGAACTTGNCTAGCTACGTTAGCACGTATTTACCTTGGAGCAAACGTATTTGTGTTTGTTGATATTCGCCATATTCAGCTGGGCATGGGGCCTGCCGCATTTCTTTATCCACCGGCGGCATCTCTCCTCTCGGGTTTTGGGTTTAGGAAACGGGTAAACTATCACCCCTCCCCTCTAAGCTTATGGGATATCTGCTATCCGATTTCCAAAGACCATAAGCACAACGCTTCACCATTTTCGCAATGAATTTGAACGCTAAGCTTGTCGGACTTCCACAGGGAGCCGCGCACGTGATCGAATATGATTGGACAACGGGCATTTAGGGGCGTGGCTTGGCGAAAGGTCAATTGACCAATCATATCTTCCCTCTAAATAGGTGGGTTTATTATCGCGGACTTTACGACAAGTTCCTCCCGCTGTGAAGCTGTCCTTGTTTCCATAGCAACAATAACTTCCTCTCAACAGCGTAAACTCGCCTTTGAAAATAAAAGCATGCCAAATTACACTTAAGACATACAACTGCAACGAAAGTAACAAACACAATGCAATATCCTTTTCAATTTCAAAGAACACAAATAGGGTTATTTACAGGTGTTGTTTTGTGTGGTAGAGGGTCGCTTTCATTGATGCGTTTTGCACCCCGGGCCGTTGTTTTGATATTCCGCTGAAGTATACGCTGTGACGTAATAATGCTTTTTTTTTTTTTGTCGAGGGAAGGGGTGGGAGTCAGAGGGCCTAGGTATAAAAGTCACGGCTCGCCACTGGGAATGGTATACATAAACAGACCAGTCTATAGTATATTCTCTGATCCGTTTTTTATGTGTGAACCTACTGTTAATTTAAAAACTAAAAACTCAGATTTTGCAGGTCACATTTTTGTTTTAAATTGAAATCGTTGTATCTCTAGAGTTCCCCATGTAAACTAAACAAATAATATGTTAATGTTATGTCACAGCTTGTTTCTATTGTCCACAGGGGTCTAAAGTTACACTCTGTTGAACTTTTTCTCTATTCTTTTTTTGAATGAGCGCTGTGCAATGCTAGTTTATAAAGAGGCTCTTCCTGTATGATTCTAATGCCCTGATGTCAGATTTGACAATGTCTCTGTTTAATTCTGATCTCTGTGTTTCCTGTAGTGCTGGTTAAGGGTCAGGTCACCACCAAGTACTACCGCATGTTATCGAAGCATGGAGGCTGGGTCTGGGTGCAGAGCTACGCCACCATTGTGCACAACAGCCGCTCCTCCAGGCCTCACTGCATCGTCAGTGTGAACTACGTCCTCACGTGAGTATGTCCTCCACCTCCTATTTCTCCATATTAAACCTCCAGTTAAAACAGATCAAAGACATCAGAGGTGTAAGAAGTAATACTCAAGTGTGAATTATCCTTTTTTACAAGTAAAGGTCCTGCATTCAAATCGTAGTTAAAGTACAAAAGTATTGGCATCAAAATATACTTCAAGTACAAAAAGTAAAAGTACAAATGTTTCAGTAGTATCAGATTTAAAATAATTTTCTATAATATTTTTTAATTGCATTAACGTCAATGTTGAACATGGTACTGGTGGGGATTTTTTAAATTACTTGATATACTGCTGGGTAACTGAAACTATAATAATACATAATGATGTTTTTGTTATTTTATTTTATCCATACATACATTTGTTTGTTATGTAGCCTAGTAGAGTAAGTTAAAAAAATTCCTCCAAAATGTAGTTAAGTAAAAGCATAAGGTATCATAACATGAAAAGTATCTCAAAATCTTACTTAGTTCTTTGTTAAATGTATTTAGTTATATTCCACCATTGAAAGACTGCCTGTTTTCACACAGTGAAGTTGAAGGCAAGGAGCTGCTGTTATCTGAAGACCAGAGTCGAGCCAGTAAGCACTGTGTCAGTCTGTCCTCCACTCAGGACCCCCGCAAACACCTCCGAACCAAAGCAGTCAAGATGAAGCCCAAAGTAAGAGCAGCTCCCTATCCTGAGGCGGGACTTCCTGCCGGACTGCTGAGTAAACAAAAGGTAAGGGAACTGATTTGTGCCCCATCTTAAAAGAGAAATCCTCTGTGCATGTAAATCAGATCTTCAGTGTGTAACTGTGTTTGTGGGTATCAGGAGGCTGCTAGCCTCTTCCAGCCGGACCGCTCCACCTGCTCCTTACAGAGGGGTGTGTGGAAGGAGAAATCCCAGTATCCCCTGACCCCCTGCAGGGAGAAGAGCTCCAGCTTGAGCCCTGAGGCCGGCCAGGTGCCCTGCGGCCCCCCCTACAACCTGACCCTGCACTACCCCTACAGCCCTCAGAGCCAGTTGCCTCGCTCCGCCCCCCCCTCTCAGCTGACCCAGCACGTCAGAGGCTCTGTGGGGTGGAACATCAGCAGCCCCCCCACACCCAACAAATACACAGGTACACTGTTTATCCAATGGTTGTCATCGTTACAGCAATTAAACTTAATTTAAAGAAAATCATAGATTCATAGACGTGTTTCCTTTATAAATGATATTTAACCTGGACTCCCACTCTCTCATCTCAGCTCATGACCATTGATCACAACATCTGGTTGAATGAGCTCCTTTTTTATTGGTTTTGACCATTCTGCTGACATCTACATCTATGTCAGATCATCAATATTTCTTATTGTAATATTTACTTGAGTTGCATCTCTTTTCAAATACAGTAAGGTATCATCAGATAGGGCAACAATGATTATTCAACTAGAGATAGAAATCCTTTCTATATCACTATTTTTAAACATGGATATGAGGTGGTCATATTGCAATGACTTTATAAATACATGAAGCCAATGGACTACAAAACAGTCACAAAAGAAAAATAGATATCTATGGTATCAAAAGCTTTATTAAAACGAAGATAGAAGATTACATAGGTATTATACATGATTCCTCATTTAACCCTAGGTTTTTATCAAACCTGATTGGTAAAAATATGTATCTCTCTTCTAAGACCCACTGCTGTTTTTTTAATTAAAAGTATGTTCCTGAACACTGTCCGCTCCTGTTGCTGCAGGAGTTCAGGTGTAGTTTCTACTGCTGATTTGTGTTTCCCTCCCCAGGCCCCGGAGGGCTGGCAGCTGAGCGCAGGTTCTCTGATGACATCTATCCGGATTGTTCCAACACCTTACATTCCAGCAGCAGGCTGAAGGAAGAGCCCTACGAACATTACACACTGGTCCACAGAGAGGTGTCTGACGTTTGTTCCCACCCCCGTCTTCATGGCACCAGAGACAGTAAAGCTTCAAACCAGGCGCTCCACCATGAGGGGGCTTCAGGTGAGCGGGGCCCCTCCTGTCCCCTGCTCAGCGGTGTGGGGCTGGAGCAGAGGAGGAGGCTGTGTATGATGGAGGCTCCTTACGGCCCCCCAGCTGCAGGATACTCCCACCCTGCTGACGGAGCTGCTCCTCATCAGCACAGGTCTGCAGAGGAGGACAGGAGGACGTTGGGGGGTGGGGCCCAGGCTCCATACATGCCTATGAACTTCCATAAAGGGCTGGGTAAACACGGCTCTGTGACCACGCTGAGCCACCTGACGGACCCTCACAGCTCCGGCTCGTCTCCGGAGAGCCACAGAGAGATCCCACATTACATCGGCACATCGGTGATCATCACCAATGAGAGGTGACACAGGACAGATCTCAGGACGGGGAGCCATAACTCTGACTGTTCACAGACTGCAGCCAGGGTCCGTCACCTTTCAGAAGCCATGTTGCACTCCTGCAGGATAGTTTGACACGCCACAGGATATTACAGCTCTTTTTCTTCTATGTTGTCTGTCATAAGATCAACTTTAACATTTTCTATAGACTGAAAAAGCTGAAACATTGACTTTAATTAAATGTATTATGTCAACATATTTCACATAACTGTATTAGGTCAGTTGAAAGCAATAATATTAAGTTTAAATAAAAATATATTAGGTTCAACTTAATATTATTGCTTTCAACTGACCTAATACAGTTATGTGAAATCGGTTGACATAATACATTTAATTAAGGTCAATGTTTCAGTTTTCTCAGTGTAGAATATATATGCAATACAGTTTGTTTCAAGATTTTTTATTTGATTATTAGTCAACTCAACATTGTAAACGTTTTGTTCTTAAAAGGAAAAAATTATTTAATAAATAATTTAATACATTTTCATATATGGAAATGGTCACTGGTGAACATCTAGAAAGTGTTAGTAATGAGTCAGCGTGAAGAAGAAGAAGACCTTTCACAGACTTTGATTATCAGCACTGTTAATAAATCAGTTTGAATGAAAAAAAGATGTTTCAAATTGATGCTATCGATAAACGTAAAAGCTCTCAAAACCTTGATATGTTCTTAAAAATTCAAGTCATCTTCTTTCAGCGAACAGAAAAAGACTTGCATTTGTGCTGCATATGATAATGTGCAGCCACAGCAGAGCAGCAACAAGCCTCCATTACAGCTTTTATTGAACAGAAAAATAATGAAGGCACTATTTATTCAACATTAAATATTTATTGCATAACTTAAATTGCCTATCAAGCATAAACACACTCTAAATACAGTGCAATATATGGGCAGCCTAGTTTATGTAGTATAATGTGAGCCTGAAGGCATTACACATTGATGTCTGTCAACAATACAAAATGGTTTACCATTACTTAGGGTTGTCCAATGCACAATAGCTTGTTAAAATAAAAATGTCAAATTGATAAAATGTCAAATAAAACAAATAAGCTCCTTAATATTGGTATCATTGAACAACTATTGAATAACAACAGAAAAGTTTTGCTAAGAGAAGAAAACTTGCAGATGGATTAAAGAAAGCTGATGAATCCACAGGCTGCCTAATGTGCTTCTACTAAATACTGATCTCAAGTTAACACATTTGTATACATTAGACATATCATTTTTGCTTTCATGTGATAATTGTCAATCAATTTGAATTGTGTTATTACTTGGGAGCTGCTCAGTTTCTAATACAATATGTCCCATTAACTCACAGACCTTCCCATTGTTCCCAATCTTGGTCTTAATTTGATGATTCAGTGAAGAATGAAGATTTCAATCTGTGTCCAAATGATATCATTGATTATTTAAAATCACCAATTGATAAACAGAGAGAACATAAACTGCTTTTTATTGTACTTTGACAAATCTTTCTTAAACATGTAATCAAAATGACTTTAATTCTATGATTTGATTCTTCAAACTGTCTTTTTAATTCACCAACAAATAATCTGACTAGCAAATGTAATAATGATGTGTTTCATCTTTAAATCTGGACTCACATGAACTAACGTGCCTACTACTCAGTCACTGAGTGTCATGGTAATAAAGCCAATAATCCAGATGGAGTAAACAGGCTTTCTTCTAGTATTTCATTCATGGCATGAAAACACTTACTTCAGAACATCCTGTGGCCGTGATGACTTCCACATTGGCGTGCTGTTTCTGAGAGGGGGAAGAAGAGGAGGAGGACGGATGTCTCTGTGAAGCACCGCTGCATCCAGCTCCAGCAGTTTGGATGCTTCCTTTGACGTTTTCACTTCATCTGGGGAGGATGGTGCCGAGGACAAATGATGTGTCCTTAAATGGCTGTGAAACGGACTTCAGACACACACAAGCACACACACATACACACACGTCAAATCCTCAGGATGAATCTCTTTCCTCTGCAGTTAGTGCTGTCGGTAACACAGGCCTCTACAGTCCAGTGGTAACGTTGCCCGCTTGGTAACTTAACCCCACACAACATTTACCGTTGAAATGATAAATGGACTGTGCTTTTCCAGTCTTCACAACCACTGAAAGCCGTTTGACATATACAGGTCATTCATGCAGAAGCTGCCATATGATGGCATCAGCTCAGACTAACATTCACACACACTACACAGCACACCTATCTGGAACAGGTTTGGGTTAGGAATCTTTCCCAAGGACACATCGACATGTTGTCTGCAGGAGTCAGGGATCCAACAATAGGTGGAGACCGCTCAACCTCCTTAGCCGCTCACTCCAACACTCTTGTCAACACAACATTTACAAATGCAATGAATTTGTATAGAAACTCATCAATGAACTTCTGTTATGCAGATACTTTTTCTTCTGTCAAATCTACTGCCATTACACTGAATAACTCAGCCACAAAGGGTACCATTACAAAGATGATTCACTGAAACTTGCCAGAATGTTACATTCAATGTTTTGCTAAAATCTTATATGAACTATTTTATTTTCAGAACTTTGAATTACCGTAACTTTATTTAAGATAATATTAAAGGTCAAAGCAGCTCTTTCCCTGCGAAACCATGAGGATATTGACAGTTATTGCTTCTTTCTGTCTTTATATCTTGTATAATCTGGATGTTGCAGAGCGCTGGGAGCAGGTAAGTGAAAGTTATAGTATAAAGACAAGAACAACATGTTTCTGTGGAAATATTTATTTTGCTGCAGCTAAAGCTGAAACGATGACTGTTCTTATGTAAGTGTGAAACCAAGTTAGCTTTTCAGACGAGGGGTGCAAATTGAAAGACAATGGTTTGAACTGGTGGTCCCAAAACAGAATCAAATCAAACCAATGTTTGTGCTCGTGAGCAATCACTGATGCAGATATTACTTTTGTTATGCATGTAGCTGCCATTAACCCCTCTCACATCACAGTTTGTCTTCCAACAACTTATCCTTAAGCTAACCGATACCCACACTGTAAGCCAGGAACATATTTAGTGCTTAACCAATTAGAAAACATGGATACATTTATACTGTATACTGTAGTTGCATTAGATTTTCTGTCAGAGTGGTTGAGTCTGTTGCCAGAAACCATGATATTCTGTAGTGATTTGGTCCTAACGCTGCTTGATGACCACCAGGTTCTTCAGCATGTCGAAGGAGTTCCCATCGGGCTCCACTGACACCACGCCCTGCTCCTTGTTGTGCACCTGCAGGAAGCCGTTGTGGTCCAGGCCGACCACCTCCGCCTCCACCCCGTCCTCGCTCCAGAGCCGCACCCGGGTCCCGCTGAAGGCGAGCACAGAGGGAGAGTCAGTGCTCTGCTCAGGGTGTTTCATGAGGAAAACACACATCTCTGCAACTCAAGTGCTATTCATTATCCTCTGAGAGTGAGAGTGAGATAAGGCTGGGACTCCCTCCATAGAATCATAGCTTTCTGCACACTTTGCACATTTGATCATAGCATGGAATGCATTGCAAGGATATCTCAACAGGCCAGATGTCCATGAAGGATTTTTTTGTCGGATTTGTTTGCATTTAAAGTGAAATACAATATACAATCTATGTGGTTCTTTTTGATTCATGCTGTAACTATTTTAATACAATAATGAATATTACAAGAGCAATCATTTTGTTTTTTGTTTGAAATGAATTCAATTAAGATGAATGCATTTTCTATGCCAGATTAAATGACAACACCAAAATCTAAGTGAGAAAGTGTGATGCATATCATTTCATTAGAAATGGTTGGGGGTTATGGGGTTTATGCAGGATGTCCCATAAGGAACCAGTCATGATTCTTCCGAACCACTTGTGGTGTGCAGTATTTTAACATAATCCTATATCGGCTCAGCTTGCTCAGAACCATGGCTGAGCTGGAAACAAAAGAATACATGGGGCTAGTCCACAACTTTCCCTGAACGCGGCAGTAATGAAACGTTAAATCACAGTCTGCAGCACTCACCTATGCAGCCATCTCTTGTAGTAGGTGGGCAGGACAGCGTCGGGGCCCCCCTGTTGGAAGCTGCAGATGAGGGCCTCCAGGAAGCTGACGCTGCGGGCGATGATCTGAGCGCAGCAGAGCGGGGGCAGGCTGCAGCCCTGCTGGGTGTTGTGCTGCTGGATCAGGTCATTGATGCACACTGTGGGGTTACTGTTGGTCACGTTGAACCCACAGCCTGCAGGGAACATCAGGTCAACACATATTATTCTGTACTCACAAGAGGCCTGTTGCAAAATACCATATTTTCACTATTGGTGACTATTTGTTCCAACTCTTGGTTGTACAGAAAAAGTAGGTTTCAGGTGATGGAACACTGAATGTGACACGGAGCTGGTGAGTTTGTTGAATCATTAGTAGGAAGGGTTGAAGCCTGTGACACAAGATTTTCATCGCCATAACTACACTGTAGCTATGTTTGTATGACTAAATAAAGAAGCTTGAACCTTGATGCAGATAAGGCAGCAGCAAAAAGAAGATTGGTGATGCAGCTTTTGTTAATTATGCAGCAAAGCTATGGAACAAAATACCTATAGACATGAGGGACGCCTGCTCTGTGAAGCTCATAACTCCTGCTCTCTGCTGCACTCCGATGCATTTTAACCTGTCACCTGATTTTGTGTTGTATTTGCACTATCTTCCTTTTAACTCACAATTTTATCGTCGTACCTTTAATCTAAATGTATTTCTTATAAGCTATGTTATGTTCGTTTTTATGTTTTTTACTGCTAACTGTATTCTATGTTCTGTGAGTATTTTAAGCGATGTCTACTGTGAAGCACTTTCATCTGCAAATAAAGATTATTATAAGAGTGAAAAAGAGAAATGTCAGTTAAAGCCTGCTGACTCATTAGCTGTGATTAAGTGTTGTTACCTATGAGCAGATGAAACGTTGATCCTATTACTGTGGAAGTCACCAGA